AGGTAACGCTGATTGATCAGCGATTTTTTTTTTTGCCAACACTGAAAGTTCAGCCTTTTTTCTAGGGGCAAGGCTGATGCATCAGCCTAAATTTTGGGGAGTGAGGCTGACGAATCAGCTTACCCGAAAATGAATCTTAGCCTGATCAAGACCTAAGTTTTTGACTTCGGGGGGTTTTGGGATCCGCACTTTAAACGTTCAGACGAAATAAAATGGGCGGTCTAACAAATCAGATGAAACAAAAAATTGAGTCTGATTTTCAGACCATCAGACCGATTTCGTCTGATATCTGGGTGTTTCAAATTATATAAGTTATAATTTAATATAGGCTTGGTAGGTTGTTACTGAACCTTTCTGTAGGGGGTACAAACCCCTCCTTGTACTCCCCTCTCTTCTAATCCAACACCTTTTCTCTCCTCAACTTTCCTAGCACCTAAAACCTCTCGCCATTCTCATGGCTCCTCCTAGCTCCTAGCTAAACCTTGTGCCATTCTATGGCTTCCTCGCTAAGCTAGTTTCTGACATGGTATCAGAGCAGTTCGTTCCGCGTGGGCCTGCTCCTCGCGTTTCCGCTGCGTGCCTCGTTTCTCTCTCTATCTCGCGCTGCCAATGGCGGCCGCATCAAGCTGCTGTGGCCGCGTCGTCGTGCCGCGGCGCCGCCGTCGACGTCCATGGCGCCCGTGTCCAGCTGCTGTGGCCGCGCCGTCGTGCCGCAGCTCCGCCGTCGCGTCAAGATGCTGTCGCGACGTGACGGCGCCGTCACGCTGCCGCGGCGTCTACGCGACAGCGCGCGGTCGGCGTAACGGCGACGTCGTGCTGCCGTCGCAACGTCGACGCCCCGCTGCGGCATCGACGCCGCTCCATGACGGCGTCGTCGGGCTGCAGCCGGCCGCGTGACGCTTGTGGCGCCGCTAGACCGGCCGCCCGCATGTCAGCCTGTGGCGCCCCCCCCCCCCACCCCCCTCCTTCCCTTGTGCCCTCTTCCATTCCGCAGACGACGGCTGACTCCCGCCGGCCGTCCCACCGTCGCGGGGCCTGGCCACGTCACCGAGAGGTGCGGGTGCCGCCGCCGCTGCCGCTGTTGTCGAAGCCGCCGCCGCCGCCGGCTGTCGCCGCTTGCGTCGGGGCCACGCAGCCGCACGCCGCCGCCGCCGCCGCTGTCGACACTGCCGCCGCTGCCGGTCGCCGCCGCAGCCCCTGCGGTCGGCGTCGCCGCCTCACGCGCCGTGGGGTCGACCGACCTAGAGTCGCTGTCACTGTGGCTGGAATGGGGGTGCTAGGTTAGGGGGTGTGGGTGTGTGTGGGCATGTGACTACCAAGCCTAGGGGGTGTGTTCAAATTATATAAGTTATAATTTAATATAGGCTTGGTAGGTTGTTACTGAACCTTTCTGTAGGGGGTACAAACCCCTCCTTGTACTCCCCTCTCTTCTAATCCAACACCTTTTCTCTCCTCAACTTTCCTAGCACCTAAAACCTCTCGCCATTCTCATGGCTCCTCCTAGCTCCTAGCTAAACCTTGTGCCATTCTATGGCTTCTCCTCGCTAAGCTAGTTTCTGACACTGGGGCCCTGATTTTTTGTCCTCAAATTCGTTTTCCATAAAAATCCTTAGTTAAGCCCTGGGCTTATAATTTTTATTCGATTACAAGCGCATTCCATCTGCTAGGTATTTCCTATATCCGGGGATTACGTTATATCCGGTCGTTCACGGTAGTTCATCCCAGACGGTGGCTTGTCAAAGTCGTACGTGTGTGTCGCGCATGAGATAGAAAACTGGAGCAGCATTGCTTTAAATATGGGCGGTGCTACGCTTGGAGCGGGAGCACGAGGTGGGGGGGGATGTGCGGCAGCGATGAGGGCAGCCCCTGCACCACGCGCCCAAAGCCCCTCAGCACCGCGCCGTAGTGCTGCGCCACGCGCCCCACCGCATGCACCTCCCCCCACGCCTCCCTCTTGCCCTGCTGCCTGCCTTGCCTTCACCGCCACTACCCTCTCCTGCCCGCCCACCTGCTCCCCCTCTGCCACGCAGATCGGCTCGCCTTCCCCCCCTCTCTCGCTCCTCTCCCCGCGCCACTGCTTCACCAGCGTCCACTGCTTCACCAGCGTCCACAGCCCAGCCTCATCATCTCCCCCACACATGGCGCTGCTGCCACATGCACCCACGCGCTGCCACTCCTCTTCTACACGCCGCTCCCTCTCTCCATGCATCACCTGCTGCATGCTGCTCCCCACCTCAAGCGGCCTCTGCTCCTCACGTTGCTCCTGCTCTGCCACTCCCCGCGCCTCGTAACTCTGCTGCTGCCTCTGCGCCTGCACCTCCTCCGCTCTGCCCCTCGTCCCCCCATCTCCTGAGCCCCTCAAAGCAGCACTGCACGCACGCCCATTCACAATGCCCCACACGCACATGCGGCTCCCGACAGGCGGGCCGTGCACTGGTCACCAGGCATGGCAGCCTCACGCGCAGGTGGTCAGAGGCGATGCCGTCGTGGCCGTGGTCGCGGCCGGAGCTATGGATGAACGTCACGTGCACCGCGCCGCATGCACGAGGGGCGGAGGGCTCGCATGCACACCGGAAGCAGTGGGAGGAGGTGGCAGGCAGAGGGCTAACCTCCACGGGCAAGGGGCTGTGGTGGCGGGGCCGGCATGGCCTGGCGTGTGTGACGACGCCCACATGGGTGGCCCGTGATGCGCCGAAGAACACCTGGCAGGGCGGGGGGTGAGGGATGGAAGGGATGAGGACAAGGGCGGGGCAAATGGGCGGCGTGCAGGTAGGCTGGCATGCACGCAGCAGCTGGCAATGCAGAGCGGCGATGCCAGCTGAACGGCCGAGACGCCGTGTGATGCGCAGCTGGTGAGCCAAGCCAAGTGCAGGCGGTGAGAGAGATGGAGGAGAATATAGGCAGCACACGGGGCGTGGCGGGAGCAGAAAGGGGGCGAGGAGAGTGCGCATGGGGGATACTGGGCGCGCATGGTGAGAGCCACTGGAGAGGAAGGGAGGGGTGAGGGCGAGTGGTGTACCAGATCGCCCTTGGTGACGTGCGCCGCGCACACAGGGTGACAGAAGGCCTCCTGCAGCCATGGGTACGGAAGGGGTGGTTGGGAATTTTAGAGGTAAGGCACAACGGCATGGAGGCAAGGCGCAGCTCAACCGGCAACGGCACACTGTTGGTGAATGGCTGCTCGCATGTGCGGGGAACATGTGCGGGGAACATGTGCGGGGAACATGTGCGGGGAACATATGCAGGGAACATGTGCGGGGAACATGTGCGGGGAACATGTGCGGGGAACATGTGCGGGGAACAAGTGCGGGGAACATGCGCGGGGAACATGTGCGGGGAACATGCGCGGCTGCGTGCCACACTGACCTGCTGGAACGCGTCCCGAGGCACCCACATGCCGACAGATGCGTACGCCCGCTGCACTGCACACACGCACATGACACATGGCACATGGCACATGGCACATGGCACATGACACATGACACATGAGACATGCGGGCAATAGCAAGGCGACACATTTGACGCCATGCCATGCATCACGAGCAGGAGGATCGCAGAAGAGCCCAGAGAGAAGAAAGCATGAAGACGCTTCCCCCTCGCCCACCAAGGCTCACTTGAGACCAGTGGTGCCCCGGCCAAGAACAGAGAGCAGTAGCACATGACGGCAATGCCAACGACTGCCTCCCACGCCCATACTCTGCCATGCCATTGCATCACACGTGAAAGGAATAGGCCCACACCAGCACAGGCCAGCAAGGCCAGCAAGGCCAGCAAAGGCCAGCACAGGCCAGCACAGGCCAGCACAGGCCAGCACAGGCCAGCACAGGCCAGCACAGGCCAGCTGGGCTCACCCAGTCCGCTGCAGTCGAAGTGCGGCCCCACGGTGCCCCCCCACAGGTACGCGTTGCGCTGCGCCCCGGCCGCCTGCACGAATGCAACCACCGCCTCGCCCCGCCCCGCCATGCCCCCTTGCCCCTCCGCCCGCACGCCACTCCCCCTCCTCCGCCCCTCGACTGACTCTTTCCCCCTCCCCCTCCCCTTATCCCGCCCATATCGCTCCCCCCCACATGGTCCGCTTCCCCTTTTGCTGTTTCTCGCCCGCCCAAAAGGCGACAAACGGCACCTCTGGCCACGTCAGCAGCAGATATCCACCCGGGATACGCGTCTTCGCACAGGCGGATAGGAATGGCGTCCGGTGCCACGTCAGGCCCTAGCGGCCACTGTGCCACGTCAGGCCCTAGCGGCCGCTGTGCCACGTCAGACGCCAACGGTCGCTGTGCCACGTCATGCCCTAACGGTTGCTGTGCGTCGCGAGAGCCAGGTTGAGCGGCGGCGAGGTCTGGAGGGCCAAGGCGGCGGTCGGAGGAGGGCGCAGGTAGCGCTGGTGCGTCCGCCCCCGCGGCCGCGCTCTCGGCGGCGACGGGGGCCTGGGCGCAGGGCGCGAGAGCCGCCTCGCCCGCAGCAGCAGCGGCCGAAGCGGCGGGCGGCGGCGGTGTGAGGAGCACGAGGCGGCGGCCCGCCCACGCCTGCGTGGCGAGGCGCGAGCAGCGCGGCGAGTCGAAGACGTCCAGTCGCCCGTGCACCACCTCGCACGTGCCGCCGCGCGGCGAGCGCGCGACAATGGCGCAGGCGCTCATGGCACGCGGGAGGGGCAGGCGTAAAGGAGCGCAGGGAACACCTGACGATCAAGGCGTGTGTCTTACGGTTCCGCTTCTGGAAGTCCGGAACTCGCGAAGTTTTTGCCTGGGGAGGAGCTCGCGAAGTCCTGTCGAAATGTGCTGCGAACTGTGTAACCAGCCCGAGTTCCGGGAGCTTGCCGAGTTCCGGAACTGTAAGACATACGCCTTCAAACTTGCGGTTGGGCTGGCCACTGGACCGCTGGATACTCGTTACAACGCGCCTCACCTGTATAGATAACACGACTTTTTTGTTATCTTCACGAAGATGTCAGTCATTGAAACGTAGGTAACGGAATGTGTTAGACCAAACCGAACCACAAAACCGCAAAACCCACACCCTTGCCCACTCCACCCTCACCACCTTCCACTCTTCCTGGCGAATCACTCGGCGACACACGGTTACCCGCCACGCGACAAAGGCGAGCGATGCAGAGCGACGAGTCAGATAGCGCGATCGCGGGCGAGCGAATAGCGGCGCTGAGGGCGCTGCAGGCGCGCCGGCAGGAGCTGCTGCAGGCACTGCGGGCTTTGGATGAGGAAGATCGACGGCTGAGATTAGGCGTAGGGTGTGAGGCGGGGGGCGAGAGAAGGAGAGAGGGGGGAGACGAGGGGAAGCGGAAGCAGGAGACGCGGGAGGCGGAGTGCGCGGAAGCGAGCGGAGGGAAGCGGAATGGCGGAGCGGAGAGAGCGAGCGGGACGGAGGCTTATGCGGCGGCGGCAGCTGCTGACGGCCTCCCGGGGGGGGTGGCGGATGGGGGGGATGGCGGGCTAACGAGAGGTGCGGGACGGGAGAGACGGGTGGGCGGGACGGAGATGGCTGGGGGGGGAGTTAGCGGGGGGAATGGCGCCGGGCGCGGGTTCGAAGCGGAGCACGGGATGAGCGCGCGGGAGGTGCAGCGGTACTCGCGACAGCTCATGCTGCCGTCGTTCGGCGTGGCAGGTCCGTGGCGAGCTTTACGTGTAGCTGCGTGTGGACTTGCCATACTTGCACACCCACACCACCCTCCAGCACCTGCACGGTCCACTCGTTCCGCCTCACAGCCCCGTCCATGGCTTGCCTTCTCTCATTCCTTCGCCCTCCCCTCTCCCCTCTCCCCTCTCCCCTCTCCCCTCTCCCCTCTCCCCTCTCCCCTCTCTCCTCTCCCCTCTCCCCTCTCCCCTCTCCCCTCTCCTACTCACTTTCAAGCCCTCTCGCTTTCCCTTCCCTAACCCCTCATCCCTCCCCCACCTTCCCCAACCCTGCTTTCGCAGTCTCCTCTTCCCGATCGTCATGCACTCGTCTTTGCCCACTGCCCCCGACCATCACAGCGCAGCAGCGCCTGAGGACACGATTGCTGCTGCTGCTGACGGCACGAGCCTCGCCTCGCGCCCCTTCCCCTTGCCCTTCCGCTCGTGCCTCTGCCATTCAACCGCCAGCGCAGCGCAGCAGCGGCTAAGGAGTGGGTCAGCGCAAGCAGCGGGAGCTGGGAGCGCGGGCTTGCCTCACACCCTGCCCTCCGCCTTCCCCCCTGCCGTCTCCCCGCTCCGCTCTTGCCCCCCGCTCCCTGGCGCATCCCCCTTGTGCCCCCCGCTCCCTCGCGCATCCCCCTTGTGCCCCCCACAGCGCAGCAGCGCCTGACGAGCGGGTCGGTGCTGGTCGTGGGGGCGGGCGGCCTGGGCTCGCCCGCTGTGCTGTACCTCGCTGCCTGTGGCGTGGGTGAGTTTGGGGGGGGGAGTGGGGGAGAGCAGGGTGCTAGAAGGCTCATGAGGGTGGGTGCTAGAGCCCCGTAACGGGAGGTGGAGGTCAGCTTCTAAGGCATGCAGGAGGTCAGCTTCTAAGGCATGCAGGAGGTCGGCTTCTAAGGCATGCAGGAGGTCGGCTTTTAAGGCATGCAGGAGGTCAGCTTCTAAGGCATGCAGGAGGTCAGCTTCTAAGGCATGCAGGAGGTCAGCTTCTAAGGCATGCAGGAGGTCAGCTTCTAAGGCATGCAGGAGGTCCCCACCACGAGCGGCTCACAGCCGTTGTCGTCGTGCCAGAGCTGAGCCGCGGGGGCGAGGGTGGTATTGACTTTGATGCCACCGCCTCCCCCCGGTGAAGGGGACGGACCACCGCTGGCGGTAGGAGTGGAAGATTTTGGAGGCGTCCCTGGAGGACGGGGCTGCGGTATGCTGGCGCTTGGCGGCATGCTCAGCGCGGAGGCAGGGGAGCCACGACCCCCGGTGGGTTGCAGCCGCATGTCCCGGTGGTACTTTTCCTCTTTCGAGCGCGCGGCATCCATCACTGCCCAACCAATTCCTTGGCGGGCGTGGGGGTCGTGGTTCCCCATTGGATCGGCCGGGCTCCGCTCATTGCTGCATGGCAACACCCGCAACGATGCTGCCGATTCTGGGGATGAAGAAGCCCGCCTCATGGGCGATGAGCATCACAGAGGCTGTGATGGGTGCTGGTCCGCCCGGGCCTTGGGAGCATGAGAGGAGATGATTTGGTTGCCCCCCGGGAATAGACATTGGCAAAACCGGATTGCGATTTTAAACCACATCGCGCCTGCGGTGATTCTTGCTAATGCGATGCGATTTCAAATCGCATCGCGCAATTTTCATTTTCAAAAACGGATATCGCATATCGCATTTAGGGCACGATGCTTTAAAACATTGCGAAATTGCATGATAACATAGTGCGATGCGATTTTAATCGCATAGCATTTTCGGCCTAGGGGCAAAAACTTCTGCCCGCGGAAAAAGAGATGGGCGGCCTGCACAACATGGCAAGAGCAACAACACGGCATACTGCAAGTTCGTTTAATGCCCGACTTGCGCACCCCCATACCTCTCATCACCCCCGTGCCCCTCTCTCAGCTCTCATCCTCCCGCAATCCCCACATCTCCCCCCCGCTGCTTTCCCTCTCCTCTGTGTCTTTGTGCATGCGTGTGCTGCGTGGGGCAGGGCGTATAGGCATCGTGGACAGAGATGACGTGGAGCTGTCCAACCTTCACAGGCAGGTGAGATGAAACGCAGAGGCAGGTGAGATGACACGCTCAGGCAGGTGATTTGCAACGCACAGGCAGGAACGATGAAACACACAGGCGGGTGAGGGAAAACGCAGAGGTGGGTGAGATGAAACGCATATGCAGGTGAAATGAAACTTACAGGCAGGTGAGATGAAACAGACTGAAAGGCAAGTGAGATGAAATATGAGGCATGTGGCATGACACGATTTGGGTCTTGGTGCCTGTTGATATTTGGTAGTTTCTCTGCCTACCAGGGATCGCTGCATGCTTCCCGTCCCGGCACTTGCCTCCGTTTCAACCCTTCATTCGCAGCCTTGTCGTTGCACCCCTTCCCTTGCCTCCGCTACTGCCAGATCATTCACTCGGAAGCAACCGTGGGCCGCCCCAAGACAGAATCAGCGGCAGCTGCGTGCACCAGGTGATGCCCTGCTGCTGGCTGACACACATTTGAGTGATGTTGCTGCCAACTGCTGCATGGTGTTGCGCTGTGCATGTGTACATGTGTACATGTGTGCATGTGTACATGTGTACATGTGTACATGTGTACATCTGTGCATGTGTGCCTGTGTACATGTATTTTGCCACTTACTATGCTCCCTACTGTGTACCCAACGATATGTGAAGGTACTGTTGTATGCTGCGTGTTTCGCTGCATGTGTTGCTGCGAGTGTTGCTGCGTGCGTTGCTGCGTGTGTTGCTGCGTGTGTTGCTGCGTGCGTTGCTGCGTGTGTTGCTGCGTGTGTTGCTGCGTGTGGTGCTGCATGTGGTGCTGCGTGTGTTGCTGCCTGTGTTGCTGTGTGTGGTGCTGCGTGTGTTGCTGCGTGTGTTGCTGCGTGTGTTGCTGCGTGTGGTGCTGCGTGTGGTGCTGCGTGTGTTGCTGCGTGTGGTGCTGCGTGTGGTGCTGCATGTGGTGCTGCGTGTGTTGCAGCGTGTGTTGCTGCGTGTGTTGCTGCGTGTGTTGCTGCGTGTGGTGCTGCGTGTGGTGCTGCGTGTGGTGCTGCATGTGATGCTGCGTGTGGTGCCGCATGCACTGCAGGTTGAACGCTGACATCACAGTGGAGACGCACAGCCAGGGCTTCACTCCCTGCAATGCCGTCAAGCTTGTCTCCAGGTATCTTCTCCAATGGTCCTTTGTTGCTGGGACAGACATGCATGGCCGGGCAGGCAAGTCTCGTAGCCCAAGGCGCAAAAAAGCGATGGTCGTTTTAAACGGGCCGTTTAATACGATCGTTTTATACGGCTTTTTTTTGAAAAAAACGCCGTTTTTTTGTTCGAAAACTCCAGACACATTTTTTTTATTAATGAGTCTAAAAACTGCATGGCCCTATCCCTGAGGCATACTGCACTGACTATGACAACAGATTCGCCATAAAAGAGGTGGGTAGAGCTCCCTACCCCTATTGCGCTGCCCCTACCGTCCCCCCCCTACTATTCCTAATCCTCCTCCACTTTCCCCGTGAGCAAAGCTCCCTGCCTTCCTCCAGCCCCTAACCCCCCCCTTACTACTTCTACTCATCCTCCTCCTCCTCCTCGTCATCCTCCTCCCCGCTCTCACTCCCGCTCTGCTCCCATGGTGCTCCCCCCTTGCGCCTCTCGTGGGATTCATCCCCCCCGCTCTCACTAGAGCTCCCTGCTTCTTCGTCCTCATCCGAGTCTGCTGCACGCTTCTCTTTGCCCTTCTTGGACCCGCCCATCTTCTTTGCCCGCTTCCCGGCCTTGCGCTTGGCTGACCGCTTCTTCTTCCACCCCCCGGCTGCCCCGAACTTCCTCCAATCGATGGCACAGCCCACGGCATCCTCCCCCTCCTCCTCCTCTGCCGGCTCGGTTTGCTGAGGGGGCGCCTCGGGCACGCTGCAGCCTTCCTTCAGCCTTCCAGAATCAAGGTCGGCATAGAGCTTCGAGCGTAGCTCTAGCTTGAGGTCGAACGCAGCCCGGGTGCGCCTGCTGAAGGCGACCCATGTGATGTCAATCATGGTCTCGGGGCTGAGGTTGTTTCGGTCACGCCGCTGGACTCGAGCCATGGCTGACCACCAACGCTCAACCTCAGACGAGGTGATGGGCTGGGAGAGGATCCTGACCGCAAGCTCCTGCAGCTGGCGCACCTCCTCTGCGTGGATGAGCCACCATTCGGCCTCCGACATCCTTCCGCACTGGACCAGAGCGGAAGCCGCCCACCTCGCGTCCTTCCCCCCCAACTTCCCCTCCCCCTTGTGGAATGACTGCAGCTGTGCTTGCAGCATGGTGCGCCGTCCGGGGTCAGACTCACGTGCCTTGAGCACGGCGTCAACCCCTTTGCGGAGCTCTGTGTCGCCCCACACCTCGTCAGCAAATTGGTTGAGGGGGCTCAGCAGCCACCCCATAGCATGGAGGGGGTTGTGCAGCTGAGCGTCCCACCTCTTTGCAATAATCTTCTTCACGCTAGCCAAGAAGGCGGCTCTGTCCTTCCCTTCCATCAGCTCGGTCTTCTTAATGAAGAAAGTAGCTGTGGAAATGGGGATTGGGTGGAGAGAGAGCGGGGATTCGGGAAGGGGATCCAGCCCAGCATGCAAAGGACAGAGAAGAAAGCTGGGAGGGGGACAAAAGCGGATGACTTACCCGCAGCACTAGCCGCCTCGTTGATCTTGACCGTGGCCTCGACCATGAGGCCATAGATCTTGGCCATCAGCAGTGCTTGCGTGTCCACTGCTCGAAGGACGTCGTACACTGGCTGCATGAGCCGGAGTACAACGTTCACGGACTCCCAGAACTTCTCCTCCAGCAGCATCGCCCGAATCTCCTGACCCTCCTTTGTCCCACTGACGGCTACCCCCTTCCACTCCTCACTAATGACCAGCCGCAACAAAGACTCCTTCACAGCAAGGAACCGGGTGATCATTATCACCTGGGTTCCAAAACGAGTGGCTCCAGGTTTGACAAGTTCGAGCTGGCTGAAAATCTCCCTAAAGAGAATGATGGCGCTCGCACTGTTCTTAACCATCATCACTACCCGCTGCGCCTCCGCTAGCACCTTCTGCACTACGGGGATGCCCCCAATGTCACTCAGCATCAGGTCTAGGCAATGAGCGGCGCAGTTGGTGAAAAAAATGGCCGGAAAGCCCTCCTTCAAAAGGCTGGACGCTTTCTTATTGTTGCTGGCATTGTCCATCACGCACTGGACAATGGCTTTGTCGCCGACTTCGCATATGGCCTTGCGGATCAAGGCCGCCAAGTAAGACCCTGTCTTCTTGGCGGTCTTAGAGTCCACTACATCGACGAGCACCGGGCCGCTCTCGTTTTGCGCAATGACGCATACGATGGCGCGACTCTTCAAGCAAGACCAGCCGTCGACTGATAAGGTGCAGCCGACGGACTTCCAAGTCTCCTTGAGGGGCGACACCAACTCGAAGGTGTCGGCCTTCAACTTCTGGAGCAGGGGCCCCGACACCTTGTATGCCGAGGGTAGCTTGTACGGCTTCCCGTACGCCACTGCCGCGTTCACGAACGCCTGCGTCGCTTTGGACCTGGAGGGTGGAAAAAGGCGGGGACTTAGAGCGAGGGGAGTGCTGTGCGTGCCACGCGAGGAACGGGTGCGAAAGAAATGTTGCGGGAGCATCAATGGCGATAGAGAGAGGACTACTCACTGGGAACACCGGAAGGCCCAGTCATTCTCGGCCACCGCGACGGCCCACAAGTGGTCAAGACGCTCCTTGCCAGCCTGATCCGACATCGCACGGATATCGAGCTGGACTTGTGCCTTGGACGTCGTCGCCTTGCTCGTCGACGTGGAGGCCGAGCTACGCGAAGATCCGGCGGTGTTTCCCTTCTCGCGCAGCGTCCGCGCGAGCTCGGAGGTGCACATGGCGATATTCTTTGACTTCGTGGCCGGGGTACCGAAAAGGTGCTCCTGAATTCGTGTGGCGCTTGACGTCATGGTTTGGGTGCAGTGATTACACTGGACCCTAACGAGTTTACCGTCGTCATCAAACGTGCGGGTGACGTGTTCCCACAAGCGAGAAGGAGTCCGCGGCATGGCGGAAATGTGGTCTTGGGCGGTGCTGCTACCACTGACTGAGCTAGCTAAGATTCTTAGTCTCTGGAATTTGAGATGCACTCACCTGTTCTGTCGTGCTCCACATTTGTATGTGCTCAACTCGACAATAATCGTGAAGGCCGTTTGATGAAGTCGTTTGAAAGGGTGCACACCTCTGGGGGGATTGGGAAATTTGCGACACGTCAGGTTCGCGATGTGTCGCGTACATCGCGAACTCATTTTCAGGCGCGAAACTGTACACCAGGCCATTAGCGACAGTGGGGTACAGTTCGCACCGGCTTCGCGAATTGGATCCAATTCGCGGATCGACATTGGCGCCGAGTCGCGTTTCGTTGGAAAGTTGTGTCAGGTCGAATCTGACTTTGGAGCGACACCAAAATCGAGTCAGCCAAACCAACATACGCGATATACGTTTTCAATTGTTGGGTACAAAAAAAGCGATCGTATAAAACGATCGCTTTTTTGCACCATAACAAAAAAGGGCACATTGACCGCTTTTTATCGTTTTAAACGACGGAATCTTACGATGTCGTTTAAAACGACAAAATCTTGAAAAAAACGCCGCTTTTTTGCGCCTTCTCGTAGCCTACGGGGCTCAATCACAGCAGAGCAGTCCTGCAGGGACATGCCGACCTCGGAGGCACCCAGGGGGGCCATTGTGGTGGCGAGGCGTCGTTCACCGTCCCCTTTGGAGGTACGTGAGGGCGGGTCCCCTTTGGAGGTACGTGAGGGCCGGTCCCCTTTGGAGGTACGTGAGGGCCGGTCCCCTTTGGAGGTACGTGAGGGCCGGTCCCCTTTGGAGGTACGTGAGGGCCGGTCCCCTTTGGAGGTACGTGAGGGCTGGTCCCCTTTGGAGGTACGTGAGGGCCGGTCCCCTTTGGAGGTACGTGAGGGCCGGTCCCCTTTGGAGGTACGTGAGGGCCGGTCCCCTTTGGAGGTACGTGAGGGCCGGTCCCCTTTGGAGGTAAGTGAGGGCCGGTCCCCTTTGGAGGTACGTGAGGGCCGGTCCCCTTTGGAGGTACGTGAGGGCCGGTCCCCTTTGGAGGTACGTGAGGGCCGGTCCCCTTTGGAGGTACGTGAGGGCCGGTCCCCTTTGGAGGTACGTGAGGGCCGGTCCCCTTTGGAGGTAAGTGAGGGCGGGTCCCCTTTGGAGGGTGGCACGCCAGTGCTGGCGAAGCTGGCTCAGCGCTTTCGCCGCCTGGTGGGAGCTGCTGTAGGGGTTGAAGAGGCGACGAGCTGCTGTAGGGGTTGAAGAGGCGACGAGCTGCTGTAGGGGTTGAAGAGGCGACGAGCTGCTGTAGGGGTTGAAGAGGCGACGAGCTGCTGTAGGGGTTGAAGAGGCGACGAGCTGCTGTAGGGGTTGAAGAGGCGACGAGCTGCTGTAGGGGTTGAAGAGGCGACGAGCTGCTGTAGGGGTTGAAGAGGCGACGAGCTGCTGTAGGGGTTGAAGAGGCGACGAGCTGCTGTAGGGGTTGAAGAGGCGACGAGCTGCTGTAGGGGTTGAAGAGGCGACGAGCTGCTGTAGGGGTTGAAGAGGCGACGAGCTGCTGTAGGGGTTGAAGAGGCGACGAGCTGCTGTAGGGGTTGAAGAGGCGACGAGCTGCTGTAGGGGTTGAAGAGGCGACGAGCTGCTGTAGGGGTTGAAGAGGCGACGAGCTGCTGTAGGGGTTGAAGAGGCGACGAGCTGCTGTAGGGGTTGAAGAGGCGACGAGCTGCTGTAGGGGTTGAAGAGGCGACGAGCTGCTGTAGGGGTTGAAGAGGCGACGAGCTGCTGTAGGGGTTGAAGAGGCGACGAGCTGCTGTAGGGGTTGAAGAGGCGACGAGCTGCTGTAGGGGTTGAAGAGGCGACGAGCTGCTGTAGGGGTTGAAGAGGCGACGAGCTGCTGTAGGGGTTGAAGAGGCGACGAGCTGCTGTAGGGGTTGAAGAGGCGACGAGCTGCTGTAGGGGTTGAAGAGGCGACGAGCTGCTGTAGGGGTTGAAGAGGCGACGAGCTGCTGTAGGGGTTGAAGAGGCGACGAGCTGCTGTAGGGGTTGAAGAGGCGACGAGCTGCTGTAGGGGTTGAAGAGGCGACGAGCTGCTGTAGGGGTTGAAGAGGCGACGAGCTGCTGTAGGGGTTGAAGAGGCGACGGGCGGCTGTGTGTGCCAGGAGCTTAAGGAAAGTGGGCACTTTGTCGCATGGGTAGCCATATGTCTACACGGCCAGCGGGAAGAAGCCGATGTATGCCGCCCGGTTGCGGTAGTCGTCGATTTTCCTGTGTACCAGTTCCCTGGCCATGTAGCCACGTTCCTTGCGGGCCAGCGGGTCTCTGGAGCTGACTGGTTCGGTGACGGTGACGTCGCAGATCCACACCACCCCGAGTCCAGGTCCGCGATTTTGCCGTGGTCCGGATTGTAGATTGCCGTCTCTTTCGTGACGATGAGCTGTGCATCCCTGGCCATGCGGATGCACTCGTTGCGGAGGGCGTTGTGGATGTCGGTGCGGCCGTGCCCCGCCCAGCAGCGAAACAGGTGGTTCTGGAGCCTAGGGTCCGGGATCCTCACCTGGTGGGAGCAGTTGCAGACCTTGGGCGCGGGGAAGGGGAGGCCCAGGCGGAAGGCCAGGGCTAAGCGAGAGGGCGCGAGCCTGAGGGAGGGAAGGAGGGGGATGGCAAGGAGGAGCCACTCGCGCGCGCCATAGCCAGTGAGGGAGAGGAGCCGCTGGGTGTGGCCGCTGAGGGGGCTGAGCTCCATCTCCCTGCTTGCCGCTACTTGCTTGGCAAAGCGGGCGGTGTGGGCCTCCAGGACGAGGCGGTGCTGTAGGGGTCGTCGCACGGCTCCAGGCGCTCGGTCTGCAGCAGCTCCAGGGCGGAGGCCGGGAGTGCCGCCTCACACCCCGCCAGCCAAGTGCGTAGTGGGGAAGAGCTGGCGAAGGTGGGTGCGAGGCAGCGAGCTGCTACTGCCAGGGGTCCGGCTGGTCCGGAGGGAAGGGATGGCAGGAGGCTGTGGGGTTGGGCCACGGTGGTGAGGAAGGCGTGAGGTCCGTCCACCGCTGGGTCCGCCAGTCCGAGGCCGTCAAGGGAGGGGAGGAGAGAGGCCTGGTGCCATGTGCGTGCTAGCTCCCTTTCTCCCCTGTGAAGCTGGAGATTGCAGGAGCGCAGCAGGGTGTGGAGGAGCTCGTGCCCCCACTGGGACCATTCTCCAGCTGGGAGGAGGGTGAGCGGCGTGGTGCCGGGGAGGACCGTGGTGCCGGGGAGGACCGTGGTGCAGGGGAGGACCGTGGTGCCGGGGAGGACCGTGGTGCCGGGGAGGACCGTGGTGCCGGGGAGGACCGTGGTGCCGGGGAGGACCGTGGTGCCGGGGAGGACCGTGGTGCCGGGGAGGACCGTGGTGCCGGGGAGGAACGGCACCCGCCGCGAGGCGCAGCGGTGGAGGAGGAGGGAGGGTGGCTGGGGTCAATGGTCGCCAGTATGGGGAGTGGCTTGACCGTTTCGGCTAGCTGCTCGCGTAGGAAGCGGGCTGCTGCCTCTGGTGGGCCAATGTGGCTGCCTAGGACCCGCAGCCCATTGCTGCAGGGCGGGGGGCTGGGCGGGCGGGCGCGGACCAGGCGGCACACTTAGAGGGGGTGTGTGTGAGGCTGAGGGGGCGCAGTGCGTTGGTGAAGTGGGGGACAGCCGCCGCGCATGCTGGTGCCGCGCCCAGCAGCGGCACATGGTCCGCGTACGCCACACAGAGGACGTCTGGGTGCGCTACGCCTGTTGCTGGCTGTGCTGGGTGTATGGTGGCAGCGAAGAGCAGGGGGCCCGTGGGGTTTCCCCGCCTCACACCAGGGGCGCTCAGGTGACCTCTCAAGCGGTCCTGGTCATTGAGAGAACATGTCCAGGACATACACTACTGCCCAACCCAAATCGTCTCACTCTCTGGTTCACCCTAATGTTCCATCCACCCTAATGTTCTATCCACCCTAATGTTCCATCCACCCTAATGTTCCATCCACCCTAATGTTCCATCCACCCTAATGTTCCATCCACCCTAATGTTCCATCCACCCTAATGTTCCATCCACCCTAATGTTCCATCCACCCTAATGTTCCATCCACCCTAATGTTCCATCCACCCTAATGTTCCATCCACCCTAATGTTCCATCCACCCTAATGTTCCATCCACCCTAATGTTCCATCCACCCTAATGTTCCATCCACCCTAATGTTCCATCCACCCTAATGTTCCATCCACCCTAATGTTCCATCCACCCTAATGTTCCATCCACCCTAATGTTCCATCCACCCTAATGTTCCATCCACCCTAATGTTCCATCCACCCTAATGTTCCATCCACCCTAATGTTCCATCCACCCTAATGTTCCATCCACCCTAATGTTCCATCCACCCTAATGTTCCATCCACCCTAATGTTCCATCCACCCTAATGTTCCATCCACCCTAATGTCCATCCACCCTAATGTTCCATCCACCCTAATGTTCCATCCACCCTAATGTTCCATCCACCCTAAATGTTCCATCCACCCTAATGTTCCATCCACCCACCACGCACTGCTCCTCACCTTCACTAACCCTTCTTCCTCAATCGTCGACTCCTTCCCTCTCTTTTCTCCCTATTTGTCCCTCCTTGTGTGCCGAATAATCACAAGAGACTCTTATGCAAAGAGAGAAGAGAGTCTCTTGTCCCTTCCGTTTTGTGTGGTGCCGTGTTCTCTCTGTTGTCCACCTGCGTCCATCCTCTCACGTCCATCCTCTCACGTCCATCCTCTCGCGTCCATCCTCTCACGTCCATCCTCTCACGCCCATCCTCTCGCGTCCATCCTCTCACGTCCATCCTCTCGCGTCCATCCTCTCACGTCCATCCTCTCACGTCCATCCTCTCACGTCCATCCTCTCACGTCCATCCTCTCACGTCCATCCTCTCACGTCCATCCTCTCGCGTCCATCCTCTCACGTCCATCCTCTCGCGTCCATCCTCTCACGTCCATCCTCTCGCGTCCATCCTCTCACCCCAGCCTGAGCGTCCCATTCCGTGTCCCTCCCTCCCTCCCTCCCTCCCTCCCTCCCCCCCCCCAGCTACGACGTGGTGGTGGACGCCTCTGACAACGTCAGCACGCGTTACCTCATCAGCGACGCTGCTGTCGCCGCCGGCAAGGTGGCCACACGGCACAAGTAGTTCTGGTTTTCAACAGTCATGTGCCACTTTTAGCAACACCGTAACACTTCAAACCAAGGTGAAAAAAAAACGGCGTTTTTTTCAAAATTTGACCGTATGGTACGGTACCGAAGTTTTCGGCCGTATAATACGATAAAAAACGGTCAGAAGTGCCATTTTGAGGGTGGTGCAAAAAAAACGGTCGTTTTTTTGGCAGAATAAAATAAAACGGGGTGAAATGTACCGCCGGAGAGCGCGGATCTGGCATTTGGACCGCCGAAATGCGCGGATCTCGTTTTTTGACGGCCGAAATGCGCTGATCTGGCATTTCGCCAGCCAAAATGCGCGGATCTCACGTTTCGACGGGCGACATGCGCGGATCTGGTATTTCACTCCTCGAAATGTGCGGATCTCGCATTTCTCCCGCCAAAATGCGCGGATCTGTTATGCGCATGCATCTGCCAGAAAAAAAAAAAAGCGGAGTTTTCAAACAAAAAAACGGCGTTTTTTTTCAGAAAATGGCGGAAAAAATACGGCCGTACTAAACGGCCCGTATAATACGATCACCGTATTTTTGCACCTTGCTGCAAACAACCGTATCGCTTTGAGACGGGTGCCAATCGTTCCGAGTGACGTTCATTCATGGCCAGATTCCTTCCCATGGCCAGATTCCTTCCCATGGCTGCCTGGTTTGGTGGAAACCATTCCTTCACTGCACACCCGCACCGCTATTAGCCTCTCACCCCAGCCCGCCTTGCCTGTCCCTCTCCGTCACTTGCCCATCGCGTTGGTGCGTGCAGCCGCTGGTGTCAGGCGCAGCGCTGGGCACAGAGGGGCAGGTGAGGGGGCGGGGAAGGGGAGTTGAGGGAAAGGGAGGGCAGGTTGGGCCGGGGGGAGAGAAGAGGGGGCGGATGGATGGAGGGAGCGTACGGGTGGGTGAGATGCAGAGGTGGGCCCTGAGGGGCAGGTGAGGGGGACGTTGCCCTGTTTCTTGCCCAACCATCCCATCAACCTGCCAAATCCATCCGTGCTCTTGCTGCCTATCCCCTCCCCCTGCTTCCCTCAACCCCCTCCCCCTTCCCCCTTTCCCCCCCACTGGCCGCTCCCATCTGGCTCCTCGTTTTCTTATCCTCTTTCTCACTCGCCCCCCCACCCCCAACGAACATTGGCCCAGTGGTCTTTGCTACCCCTGTGTCTTCCCTTCCCCCCTTCCAAAGCACGTCCTAGCCCCTCTGCCTCCCCTCTCCCGCCCCCCCAAACCCCAACACTCCCCCCCGTCAGATCACAGTGTACCATGCAACCCCCACCGCGCCGTGCTACCGCTGCCTCTTCCCCACGCCGCCCCCTCCTCCGCCTGCCAGCGCTGCTCCGACAGCGGCGTGCTGGGAGTGGGTAAGTGGTGGGGGTGGTTGCGTGGTGTGAGTGGTTGCGTGGTGGGAGTGGGTGAGTGGTGGGAGTGGGTGAGTGGTGGGAGTGGGTGCGTGGTGGGGGTGGGTGAGAGCTGGGAGTGGGTAAGGGGAGGGGGGAGGAGAGGTGGCTTTGGGGCTGCAGGCAGGACATGGGTTGGATTGGGGCAGGACATTGGTTTGGCATAGGAGATGGAGGGGGAGTGGGGAAGTGGAGGAGGGGGGAAGGGGGTTGGGGAAAAGGTGGAGAAGAGTGACGTGAAGCAAGCTAATAAGGTGCTAAGCTAGTTGGGTGCAAATTAGGCTGGCTGGAAATCAGAACGAGGACTTGAGGGTGGTGGTATTAGTGTGGTGGTTGGGGATGGAAGGTTAGGAGATATTGCAGTGTGCAGCTCGTGGCAGTTTGCAGCTCGTGGCAGTTTGCAGCTCGTGGCACTGTGCAGCTCGTGGCACTGTGCAGCTTGTGGCACTGTGCAGCAAGTAAACCCCCAAGTCGTGGCTCCAGAATTCAGGTTCTTGATCCAACTTACCCAAGTCCGCGCCCCCCTAGAGCCTGCAGGCTAACCAGTAGCGTGCTCCCTGTTGCTCCAGCTAGGAAGAGGTGCGTCGCCCAGGACCACATCCAGCAGCGTCCATTGTCTTGGGCAAAGCCACGCTTGCTTGCTGGAGCAGCCTAGAGCATGCAGACGGGAGGCCCGCTGCCTCTTGGAGGGTGAGGGCTGGGGTGAAGTGGGCCAGGGACCCGAAACGTGAGTCCATGAGCTGGGATCTCCTCTGGCCGGGCGCCATCATGCGTGTGCTCGTGCCCTGGCCGCTCGTCTCCTAGCTTCTCCCAACTTCCCGTCATTCATCGCGCACACACTGGCTGCTTTGCTCTCTGGTTGCCCCTCGGTTTTCTTCCCGTCCCTCCCTGTTGGTCCAGTCCCGGGGGTCATCGGCGCGCTGCAGGCAGTGGAGGTGGTGAAGCTGCTGACGCGGGTGGGCGAACCCCTCTCAGCGCGCATGCTCGTCTACGACGCCCTCGCCGCCTCCTTCCTCTCCGTGCGTGCTGCTCTGTGCCGTGTCTCGTTCGCCCACTCATGCCTTGCCTCATTGCCCCGCGTGCATTCCTCGCCACAAGGAAATCGCAGCACTTGGCCTGTTCTCTCATCTGGTGGTTTGCCTCAGTATTTCCTTTGCCCCCATCAGCACCCCTGCTCTGTGCCGAAGCCTGTGATAGCCCATGTGTTAGAAACTGTAGAGAGAAGAAATTGACTATAGAGGGAGATGGTATAGGGTTATATACCTAGGGAGCAAATCCTAGGTCAAGAGGTGCTTGACCAACTCAACCATTATTGGTTCGACCAATGATGGTTGGGAGGGTTGGACCACCAATAATTGAGGAGCCAATAATGTTGGTGGAAGACCAACAAGATTGAACACCTCGATAGTTGGGGTCAAGGGTTGGTTGAATATCCAACCCCAACATGTATGTACACCCTAGATAGCCCAGCTTGGTTATAGATACCCAAGTATAAGAAACTATGTAGGATAAAGAGAATGGTATATTCTAACACAACCCCTTAGCCTGCATAGTAAGAGAATACTTGGGTCGGAGAAGAGACAACCCCTGAATCAGGTAGATAAGGAGGAGGAGTGAGGAGCAAGGCCTAGGAGGCCGAGGGGGAGGGAGGGAGTGAGGAATGCGAGGGAGAGCCTTGGTGAAGATGTCGGCAAGATTGGCAGAGGAGTCAATATTGCGGATGGTGAGATGGCCGGCTTGGACGAATTTGCGAACGAAGTAGTGGCGGAGCTCGATGTGCTTGGAGTGACCATGGAAAACTACTTCTTTGGTGAGGTGTATCGTGCTGGCATTGTCGCACCAGATGGTGGGGCAGGGCTGAGGGGCACCACGTTCCTTGAGAAGGTAGTCGAGCCAGCGAGCTTCCTGTGCAGCCATGGTAACGGCATAGAGTTCGGCTTCACAGGAGGAGAGGGCAATGGAGGAGGAGCAGGTAGAGCGTCAGCTGATGAGGCCACTCCCCAGGTGTGAGAGTACGACCTCGTTACACCACTTGGCCTTTTCCCATATTTCATCTTCATTTCATTCCTCTTTTTATCTCATCTCCTTTTGCCTCATATTCCCCATTTTCCATTATCCTTTGGTTTCTTCCCTTATTCTAATTATATCACCGACCAAGCATGGAATGTTCTAGACACGCTATCTAGCGTAATCCTGTCGTAATCTCTTACAGCCAATAGCCTCGCGTGGCTATACGCAGGGTGATTCTATTTTCTAGAAGGGTCTATTCCTTTAGATAGGATAAACCTGGTTACTTGATGTACTCTGGAAGTATAAAAGCGCCTTGTACTGATCGATAGTGCAACCTTTCCTCGACACATTCGATCCTGTGACACTTGGTAATCAGAGCTTTTCTTACTCGGCCGCGCTCAACAAAGCAGCAGCAGCGGGAAAACCTGCCTCGAAAAACCGCCGGGGGCGACCAATTCGACGCCGATTCTGGTAAGCACCAGCTCCGCGATTTTCGAATTACCCCCTCCGTGCGTGTTTTGAACAGGATGGCAACCTTCGACAACGCCGAGGTTACCCAGCAGCTCTTCGCGCGCATCGCAGCCCTTCAGGAGGAAATGCGAGCGGATCGCGAAGCGTGGCGAAACCAGTTCGAGCGAGTAACTCGACTCGCCGGAGCGCAGCACGAGACGACAACGGCGACGACGCAGCAGTCGCAGCAGTTTCTCGAGGCTCCGAAACCGCGCCCACCTGAGCCGTTCGATCCGAGCGATCGAAACTCCGACGCCCGCAGATGGATCGCCGGGATGGAGATCTACTTCGCAGCCGTCGGATGGAGCTCGCCAGTCTGGGACGGTCAACGTGTACGACTCGCGGCGACACTGATGCGAGGGCCGGCACTCGAGTGGATTGGCGGCAACAGCACCTTCATCCACGGTGAAGCCACGTGGCAGCAGTTCCGCGCCGACCTGCTGAAACGCTTCGAACCGATAAATTCAAGTTTTCTTGCCCGCGAAAAAATTCATCGTCATCGACAGTTCGGGAGTGTATCACAGTACACGCAGCAGATGGAAGAATTTTATAACCGCATTCCCGACCTGACCGAAGGGGAAAAAGTGCAATCGTACCTCGCAGGGCTGAAGACCGAAGTCAAACGACAGGTGGCAGCGTCAAACTACGCAAGCTACAGTGACGTCGTTTCGGCCGCGGAGCGCTTCGACATGGTCAACGCCGGAACACGACGGACGCACGTCGGCAGTACGCGACAGGGCGACCGCTCGGCTCACCCCACGTTCGCCGACCCGATGGAAGTCGACAGATTCGAGGGGCGGCCACGTCCGAAAAACACCAACTACACGTGTGATTTTTGCGGGGTGCCGGGCCACCGAATCTTCGACTGCAACAAAATGAAGGCCGCACGCGCAGAGTATCGGGCACGCAACAGTGGCGGAAATCTTCCGGCCAATCAAAAGACAAAAAACGGGAGTCGCCAGTGATTGCGGATCTAGCTGGCGAAAATAAAAAGATCCGGAAACGGCCGCAGGATTCCGAGAAAATCAACTTCGACGAAGCTGATTCGACGCGAGCAGGAGGAAATGATGGGGGAAAATCTCCACCCCACGACCAGTCTTCGCCAGGGAAATTCGCCGAGGGAAAATCAGACTCCGCGAAAAAAGACTCTGCCGAGACGGGGAAACTCCTTGAAGACCCAAGAAATTATAAGAATTCGTTAAAGCTATCCTATAAAGATGCTTTAATGAAAACTTATGATTTTCGAGGGGCTAGAGCCTTGGAGAAAATACGGGAGGGACTCCAAAAGAAGCAGAAAGCTGTGGAGATTATACCGGTACCGGACAACTTGGGGACCAAATTAAGGAGTGTGGAAAGAAGCCGACCTTTCCACGGAGTCAACATCCTCTCCCGACACCAGCCCACAACGACTACCCGCTCCCCAGGGAAGACGTCGGTGGAGCTGAAGCAGCTCAAGAGGAAGCTGGGGTCTACAAGAAGCTGCACAAACCCCGAACTCCCTCTACGGATGCATCCAGTTCTTCGGCATCAACGACACGCACAGTCGTCAAGGAAACTCCGGGCCCTGGAGAAGAGCCGTTCTCCAAGCAGCCTCGGCCAGCTGCTAGCTCAGGAGCAGATAGCAACGAAAAGGTGTGTACAGATTATTGGGATGTACCCTATGACCCCATTAATGAGACTATCTTTGGGTACTCCGAGCAACGCCCGCCTCTCGTGCTCGAGGTCATCTGCAAAGGACGACGCCTCCAAGCACTCGTGGACAGCGGAGCGTCTCATACCGTCTGCGACAAGGCAATAATCGACCGACTTCGCGAAGAGTACAAGCCTTCAAAATTCTCTGCAACGATGGTGGATGGCAGCAAGTTACCAGTACACGGCGAAGCAGTGCTACACCTACAAATTGGACCACTGCGCTGGAGACCTGCACTCCCCATCACCAACATCAAAGGGCTTGACTTGATCTTCGGGCGAGACTTCCTGAAAAGATTCAACCCCGAGATCAACTGGGTGAACCGCACCGCAAGCATCTACAACAATGGACGGAGAGTGCAGCTACCCAACTGGGACGATACAGGAGATATCCCAGTGGAAACACTCGCACGATTCGAGAAGGATGTGAAGCGGACTGACACCGGGTTCCTGGCGATAGCAACAGAGGTGGAGAATGACGGAGAGAAAGCCTCGGAAACTCCAGAAAAAATCAAGGAATTACTGAAGGAGTTCCAAGACATTCTTCCTGACGATCTTCCGAACGAGCTACCGCCATACCGAACGCATCAACACGAGATCGTGGAGGAACCGGGTTCGAAGCCGACCGTCCGAGCACCATATCGACTCAGCCCTACGGAGCTGACCGACATGAAGAAGCAGATCGAGTATCTCCTAGCTAAAGGACTCATCCGACCATCCACTTCGCCGTACGGTGCCCCAGTACTCTTCACACCGAAACCGGACGGAAGCCTGCGCATGTGCATCGACTACCGAGCTCTTAACAAGCAGACCATCAAGAACAAGTATCCGATACCGCGAATCGATGACCTGCTTGACCAGCTTCGGGGAGCTACGGTATTTTCCAAACTGGATCTGCGGTCCGGATACTGGCAGATACGGATGGCGGACAACTCTATCCACAAAACTGCTTTCCGAACTCGGTACGGATCGTACGAGTATCTGGTAATGCCGTTCGGACTCACCAACGCACCGGCAACTTTCCAAGCCGAAATGAACCACATTCTACGACCACTTCTGGACGAATGCGTGGTGGTGTACCTGGATGACATACTCATCTACTCGCGCGACATGAAGCAGCACGTCGAACACCTGCGACGCGTCTTCGAAATTCTTCGACGGAACGATTCTACGTCAAACTGTCCAAGAGCGAATTCGCCCTTGAAAAGGTCCAGTTCCTAGGACACATGGTAAGCGCTCAAGGAGTTCACGTCGACCCCAAGAAAATCGAAGCCGTACGTACGTGGAAGACACCCGAGAACGTGAAGGAGTTGCAGCAGTTCCTAGGCTTCGCTAATTACTACAACAGGTTCGTGCCACAGTATGCGAAACTCGCGGCACCACTCACGAATCTGTTGAAGAAGAACACGCCCTACAAATGGGAGACGAAGCACCAGGAAGCCGTGGAGCAGCTGAAACAAGCACTAACATCCGCACCGGTGCTCATCTTGCCAGATCCCGAACGTGACTACGTCATTGAAGCAGACGCCAGTGATCAGGCCGTGGGGGCAGTCTTGATGCAAGACCAAGGGAATGGACTGCAACCCATTGCCTACCTCAGCAAGAAACTGCACGGGGCAGAACTCAACTACCCGATACACGACAAAGAGGCCCTGGCTATCATCATCGCCTTCAAAGCGTGGAGATGCTATCTCGAAGGACGACGAACGACCGTCTACACCGACCACTGCAGCCTGAAATATTTGAAGACACAACCCAACCTTTCCAGGCGGCAGGTCCGGTGGATCGACTTCCTCGAGACACACTTCCACTACGACATCGTGTACAAGCCCGGCCACAAGAATAAAGCAGACGCGCTCAGCCGGCCTGCACACGTTGCCGCGATTCAGGTCGAAGGGATGAATCCACTACTCAAGGGACTCTTCACACACGGGTATACCATCGACCCCGAAATTTCCTTGGCAGAAAAGCGACATCTGCTACAGTGGGACAGTGACATCGCGTACCGGAAAGGATCAGCAAAAATCTGGGTACCCAATTACCCTCCTTTGCGCCAGTTACTACTCGAAGAATACCACGACGTCCTGTACGCCGGACACTTCGGTAGCAACAAGACGCTCACCGGTATCGCCAAACACTACTACTGGCCCCATATGGCAGACGACGTCCAGAAATTCGTCACCTCGTGTGATACATGTCAGCGGATGAAGAGCAGCAAGCAGAAAAAGGCGGGACTACTGCAGCCTCTTCCTGTCCCAGAACAACCATGGCAAGTGGTTAGCCTAGACTTCATCACCGGGTTACCACCTACCTCCAGCGGTCATGACGCCATCCTTGTCGTCATTGACAAGTTCTCCAAAATGGGACACTTCATCCCGACGCACACGACGGCACGCACCGAGGAGACAGCACAACTCTTCGTTCGTCACATCATCTCACAGCATGGCATCCCAACTACACTCATCTCCGACCGAGACCCCAAGTTCACTAGCAAGTTCTGGAAGGAACTTATGTCTCTTCTCGGAACCAAACTCGCCATGTCGTCCGCATACCATCCGCAGATAGACGGACAGACCGAGCGCCTCAACCAAATTGTTGAGCAACTCCTCCGAGCAGCCTGCAAGGACGACATCTCCAAATGGGACTTGCACCTGCCCGTACTCGAGTTTGCTTACAACAATGCTACACATGCTGCTACTGGACAGACGCCGTTCTTCCTCTGCTACGGACGCCACCCACTCACACCACAGAAACCGACAACACCAGCAACAGTCCAACCTGCACACGACTTCATCACAACCATGCATCAGCTTTGGGATCGGACCCATAAGCGCCTCCTTGACATTCAACAGCACCAGAAGCGCCAAGCCGATCGCCATCGCAACGACCACACCATTTCCGTGGGAGACCAGGTGCTTCTCGACACCCGTAACCTGGACATCAGCCATCTCCCATCTAAACTTCGCCCTCGCTTTTGCGGGCCTTTCCTCGTTGACGCACAGGTCACTCTTGTTACCTTCCGCTTACGCCTGCCAGCTACCTGGAAGATTCACAACGCCTTCCATGTCAACTTCTGAAGCCCTATCGGGATCCTAACACGATCTTCGTCGGACGCCAACCGCCGCCGCCGCCGCCCGTCCTCGTCCAAAATGAACCCGAATACGAGGTCGAGTCCGTGCTTGCACACCGCCGACGTCGGAACGGTACCGTGGAGCTTCTTATTCGCTGGAAGGTTATGATCCTTCTGAGGACAGCTGGGTCTCTGAAACCGATATGGGTAACGCCCGTCGTCCTCTGCATGACTACCTTGTAAAGCAGGGTGTTACTTCTACCACCCAGCTTTGAGGGGGGGAAGTGTGAGAGTACGACCTCGTTACACCACTTGGCCTTTTCCATATTTCATCTTCATTTCATTCCTCTTTTTATCTCATCTCCTTTTGCCTCATATTCCCCATTTTCCATTATCCTTTGGTTTCTTCCCTTATTCTAATTATATCACCGACCAAGCATGGAATGTTCTAGACACGCTATCTAGCGTAATCCTGTCGTAATCTCTTACAGCCAATAGCCTCGCGTGGCTATACGCAGGGTGATTCTATTTTCTAGAAGGGTCTATTCCTTTAGATAGGATAAACCTGGTTACTTGATGTACTCTGGAAGTATAAAAGCGCCTTGTACTGATCGATAGTGCAACCTTTCCTCGACACATTCGATCCTGTGACACCAGGGTGAAGCCATACCCTAAGAGCTGCGGCGATCGGGCTGGGAGTCAGCCCATGAGGAGTCGCTGAAGCCGGTGAGGGTGGGTGGGGTGCGACCGCCAAGCGTAAGGACAGAGTCCTTGGTTCCCCGAAGGTAACGAAGGACACGCTTGGCTACCTTCCAGTGTGCCTCAGAGTGCTTGCCCGAGCCAACGAATCGGGCAAGGACACTGATGGGGTAGGCCACGTCGAGGCGAGTGCAGACCATGGCGTACATCAGAGACCCCACGAGCTCAGCGTAGGGGTCGGCGGAGGAAGTTGGGGTGGCGGGGGGTGCGAGCTGGTGGTTGACATCAAGAGGAGTGGAGACAGGCTTGGCGTGCGACATCTCGAAGCGCTCGAGCACTTTCTCGATGTAGTAGGACTGGGAGAGTGAGATCGTGCGTGCTTTCTTGTCGCGAGTGATTTCCATGCCAAGGTAGTTGCAAACCTCTTCCAGGTCTTTGCAGGCAAGACGTGACTGCAGTTCATCTTTGACTTGTTGCAGGTCTGCGTCGTTGGAGGCGGCCAAGAGCATATCGTCAACATAGACGAGGATGTAGTAGGGTGAGGGAGAGGTGCGAAGGAAGAGGCAGGAGGTAGCCTCGGAGGGGCGAAAGCCCAGGTCGCGAAGGGTGGAAGAAAGCTTGGCATACCACTCTCGGAGTGCCTGCTTCAGGCCGTAGACGGGCCGCTTGAGTTCCCACACAGTGGAGGGATCGAAGGGGAGATGGAAGCCGGTGGGGCGCTCGAGGAAGACTTGCTCGTGGAGTTCGCCTTGAAGGAAAGCGGTGGTGACATCCATAGAGCGTAGGATCATGCCGAGTTGCGCGACAAAGTCCAGGAATACTCGGACGACCGGGGGAGTGGCAGTGGGTGATTAGGTGTCGAAGAAGTCCTGGTTGTGACGCTGAGTGAAGCCGTTGGCGCAGTAGCGTGCTTTGTAGACCGGGGCCTCCCCAGGTAACAGCTTGACTCGGAACACCCACTTGCCACGAACCACATTGGCGCGGGACGGGCGGCAGACATCGATGAAGGAGTGATTGCGTATGAAGGCCTGTAGTTCCTTGATGATGGCCTCGAGCCAACGGGCCGCATCCGGGCATGTCATCGCCTCCTCGTAGGTGCCAGGTTCGATGGTTGGGGCGCCGGAGAAGACAAACACAGGGGTGGATGCGATGCTTAAGGCGATTGGCACGAGGAGCGGGTTGTGGTGATGGAGCGTGAGGATCTCTTCATGCGCATCTGCTTGAACAAGGGGGGAAAGAGGGGGAGGTGGTGGGGCTGATGGAGTTGCACGGACGTTGAGGCAGAGGAGGCCGGGGGACGTGGGTCGGCGCCGGGAGATGAAGGGTGGTGCCGAGAGCGTGAGGTCGTATCGGTGCCGGGAGGTGAAGGGTGGTGCCGAAAGCGTGAGGATGCCGGGTGCAAGCGATGGAGAGACCTGGGGAATAGGCCGGGGGGGGGGGGAGGGCCGCGGGGAGGGGGCAAAGGTGTTGAGGACACGAGGGGAGGGAGGAGCACCAATGAGAGAGTCGAGTGAGCGAGTGTGGGGCCGGAAGGGGAGGTGTGGAGGAGGAGGTGGGGGAGGTGGGGGAGGTGGGGGAGGGGGTGGCGGGGGAGGAGGTGGTGGGGAGGGAGCTCTAGATTGGGAGTGGGTAGGGTTAGTGGAGGGTGAGGGGTAGGGGGGAAGCACGTGGTCAAGGATATCTTCTGAGGAGGAGGATGAGGGGGCAGGAGCGGGGGTGGGGGCAGGGGCGGGGGGAGGAGGGACGGGTGGGGGAGGGGGGAGAAGTGGGAGGGGAGGGAAAAGGGGTGGGGCGACGGTGTCGGTCCAGAGGAGGGGACAGGTTACTGGGGGAAAGGGGTCAGTGGAAGGGGTGGAGGGGTAATAGGGTGTGGATTCGTCAAATGTGACATCGCGTCTACGGATAGGGGTGGAGAAACAGATAGTCTGGGGAGTCAGAGTTGAAGCCAAGGAAGATGCAAGGAAGTTTGCGAGAGGCAAATTTGCCAGCACTGCGGGAGCGGTCAGGGGGGAGGATTAGGACGTAGGCCTTGGACCCCCTGACACGGAGGGAACGGATGTCGGGCTTTTAGGAGGTCCAGAGTTCAGAGGGAGTGGTGGAGGGGGTGTGGGCATGAGGGTAAAGGTTAAGGAGGTAGGCGGCGTGTAGGAGGGCATAGCCCCAGAGCGAGGGTGGGCAGGAGGCATGGACAAGGAGACACCGAGCAATCTTGGTGAGCTCCCGGACCTTGCTTTCTGCCACGCCATTCTGTTGGGGGGAGTGGGGAAGGGTGTACGTGTAGCGGATGCCGTGGGTGGTGCAATAGATAAAGAGGGTGTGATTAAGGAACTCGCCTCCGCCGTCCGAGTGGAGGCGGCGGACAGGTCGTCCGGAGTGGGTTCGTGCCTGCTCGGCGCAGGCGATGATGGCAGCCGGGGCCTCGGCCTTAGTGCGAAGTAGTTTGGCCGAGGTGTACCAACTGTGATCATCCACTAGGAGGAGCAGGTAGCGGTGACCTTGGCGAGTGGGAGTCGGGTTGGGGCCCCAGAGGTTTGCGTGGACCAGGTCGATGGGGGCAGGGGAAAAGGTAGGATTGCTTTTGTGAGGGCTTTGTTTGAGCTTGCTTTGCGTGCAGGTGAGACATGGAGGGGCGGGGAGGGAGGGAGGGGGGGAAGTGTGAGGGGGAGACCAAGGAGGAGACGTGAGGCAATGGATTTGTGGAGGTGGCAAAGTTTTGGTGTCCAAGGCGGTGGTGGAGAAGGACAGTGGGATGGGAAAGGTCACGGCAGTGACATTGGGAAGGTAGAGGGTCGGGGGGAGGTTGGAGAGGTGGGTTAGGAGGAGAGACGGGGAAGAGGGGGGATGTGATTGAAAGCGTGACAGTGGGAGGGGCGGAGGGCCTTTAATGTGAACATCCGGGTGGAGGGGCAGAGGGGAACACGGGAAATGAGTTTACTAGTGCGTGTGTGATAGAGGTCACAGTGGGAAGAAAAACCTGGATAGACTGTGGTGACGCCGACTTTTTGAGGAGCGTGTTGGGAGACTAGGTTAGTGCGGAGGGATGGGATATGAAGTCCTGTGACGGTACCTGAGGGAAAGAGGGCGCATGGAAGAGTGGAGGCATGGTGACTGAGGACGGAAAAGCTGGAGTCGGCACCTAGGATGGTGGAGGGGACGGGGAGGCGGGTTAGAGAACCTGCGTCTCGTAAGACGGTGTCAATTGCACCACGGTCAATGACAAATTCAATGGTGGGGGGCGTGGAGTACTGGAACGAGTTGGTATTAATAGCATCAGCATACACAGGAGTGGAAGCGGGAAAAGGAGGGGACTGAGTGACTTGACCGACAAAGCCAATAGACGGAAAAGGCAAGAAGCCTGGGGGAGTAGAGCTAGCAGGGTACTCAGCCAAGTGAGCTGCAGCGGCAGCAGTGCCATGTTCCCAATGAGCCGGCGGCTGGGGGGAAGGTGCTGAGGGAGGAGTGGTGGGGAGCTGGTAGTGTTGCTGGTACTGCAGCAGCAGGTGCTGCTGGGGGTGCTGCAGCAGTTGCGGCTGATATGGCTGGGGCGGCCAGGTGGGTTGCTGAAGCGGCGGATGCTGGTGGACATGCGGCTGTGGGGGGTAGGTGGAGGGTGGAGGAGTGGCAGAGGGCGGTAGCAGGTGCTGTACTTGCTGGAGGGCCTGAGGGGTCAGGTGCTGGGCGAGGACCTGGTGCAGATTGGAGGTGGAGGGGTGATAAGGGGGCAAGGTTTTTACTTCATAAGGAGTGGGGTGAGGGATGATAGTGGACCAGCGAGGAAGAGATCCGTGGTTGCCATGAGCAAACCACTCATCCGTGAGACATTTGAAGCAGGTGGCAGCAGAGTGAGTGGTCTGATTGCAGTGCTGACCTTTGAGGGAGCCATAGCGGATGAGGTACTGGCATGGGGGGAGGGTTCCAGAGGGGGAGGAGGGGGGAGTGCCAGAGCCGCCACCACGTCCGCCTCCTCGGCCACCACCGCGTCCGCCATTGCCGCGCCCTCCACCACGTCCGCCACCACGTCCTCCCCCTGTCTGGGCGGAATTGACTGAGGTGGTGGTATCGTTGAGGTCCGCCTCCATCTCAAGGATCCACTCGATTACTCGGGCGGATGTGGGTGGTTCACGGAGGGGAGTGGTGAAGGCAATCTTGTGGGTGGCATAGGCAGGGGTGAGGCCGTCGAGGAGGCGCCACATGACGACCGAGTCACTGATGGCGCCTCCTCGATCGTTGAGACGATTGGCTGTGTCTTTGAGGCAGCGGGTGAAAGTGGCGGCGTTAGGGCAGGAGTCAAGGGTGATAGCGTGGAATTCACGGTGTAGGGCAAGGAGGGAACGCAGGTCCTGGCGGTCATAATCATGAGTGAGCTGGTTCCAAAGGAGAGCAGCATTGGAGGGACGGAGCGCACGCTTAAGAGAATCGGGAATACTTGCGAGGAGGAGATTGAGAGATTTCATGTGAGCAACGCGCCAGTCGGCAAATCGAGCGTTGTACTCACTGGTCTCAGTAGCGTACCGAGCGGCGGCGGCTTCTTTCACCTGACGCTGGTTGGAGCTGTAAGTGCAGCTTTGTAGGCCTTGTGCTGGACAACGTATGCGTGATGCTCCTGGGTGTAGGCGTTCATGGCGCGCGCCCATCGGTCCGGGTTGTCGATGTAGGCCGGTACGCGGGGCGCAACAGGAGCCGGGCCTGGATGGGGGCTAGGAAGGACGGGGGGAAGGAGGGAGGGCTGAACCGGTGCTGTCGGTGCCCTTCCTTCCGGTTTGCTGAAGACGATGTCAGAAAGGTAGTAACCGTTGATGACGGTGGAGATGAGGAGAGTGTGGAGGCTTTGTGCTAAAGAATGTCAATTGACTGGAGTGGTGCCGTTGCGAAGGTCAAGACGGTCGATGGAGCTCATGTCGATGGTGGGTGTATCGGCCGCCATGGTGTGAGTGTAGTAGAGGAGGAGGTGGGGCAGCGGCGATGGAGGTGGTGCAGCGGGGGAGGAGGTGGTGCAGCGGGGGAGGAGGTGGTGCAGCGGTGGAGGTGGTGCAGTGGCGGACGGAGGAGGTGCAGTGGCGGAGGAAATGGGCAGCGACGGAGAAGGTGGTGCAGCGGGGGAGGAGGTGGTGCAGCGGTGAAGGAGGTGGTGCAGCGGCGGACGGAGGAGGTGCAGCGGTGGACGGAGGTGGCGCAGTGGCGGAGGAAGTGGGGCAGCGGCGGAGAAGGCGGTGCAGCGGGGGAGGAGGTGGTGCAGCGGTGAAGGAGGTGGTGCAGCGGCGGACGGGGGTGGTGCAGCGGCGGACGGAGGTGGTGCAGCGGCGGACGGAGGTGGTGCAGCGGCGGACGGAGGCGGGTCAGCGGGGGAGGAGGTGCGGCAGCGGGGGAAGGAGGTGTGGCAGCGGGGGAGGAGGTGCGGAGGTGCAGCAGCGGCGGATGGCGAGCAGCTGTGGCGGAGCTGGTGGCGAGCGGTGGCGATTAAGGCAGCGGCGGCGTCGAAGGCAGCGGTGGCGACGAAGGGAGCGAGCGCAGCGACGGGAGGGACGGACGTGACCGTTCCGACCGAGGAAGGGGCGCGAGAGCGCGCAGGCGCAGGTGACGCCAAGCGAGGGATGGGAGCGCGGAGTGCGCTGGCGCGAAGTGCGCTGGCATGGAAATCCGCCGCGACGAAATTTTCAGCAGCGAAATTCGTCGCGCGGAATGCGGGCTGAGAGAGCGGGGAAGGGGCGCGATGACGCGCAGGCGCGGTGGGCGCCGAGCAAAGAATGGGGAGGTAAGCGTGGTTGGCGCGTGGAGGAAATTCGTCGTGACGAATTCTGCCGCGACGAAATTTCGCGCAGAGGCGAAATGCGCTTGAGCGCAGCGCAAAATGCGCGGGAGCGGGGGAGGAGGGCACAGCGCGAAATGTGCTTTGGGAGGTGCGGGAAGCGGGGAGCTAGGAGCTCTTAGCGTGATTTGCGCTAGTTGGTTGCAAGTAGGGTTGAGCAAACTACCCGCCCGGGTCGGGTACCCGGTACCCGGACCCGCTTTTAGGGCGGGTCGGGTATCGGAAATCCTGAAAATTACCCGGCGGGTCGGGTCCGGGTTACCCGGGCTGGGTATCAATACCCGCTACTCGAAATGCTACCCGACGTGTCGGGTACCGGGTACCCGACCCGGTCGGGTAAAATATACCTGAGGTCGGGTATTCCACCTAGACATGGGCGTCAGTCGCGCTGTGTTTTAGGTTTTGCGGCAAAACGGTTTTTGGAGGTGAGGGGGGACGAGTGGAGCATTTGTGAGGAGAAGTTGGAGCTTGTAGATGGGGAGGAGTTAAGTGCGGTGAAAGGGAGGGAGTTGGGTGGGAGTTGGAGAAGTGGTTGGAGTTTGTAGATGGGTAGGAGTTCAGTGCGGTGAAAGGGAGGGAGTTTTGTTGGAAATGTTGGAGTTTGTAGACAGGGAGGAGTTCAGTGCGGTGAAAGGGAGGGAGTTTGGTTGGAAATTGGAGTTTGTAGACGGGGAGGAGTTCAGTGCGGTGAAAGGGAGGGAGTTGGGTGGTCAAAATTCGACCCCCAGAAAACGCGACTCTCATTTGAGAGTCGCGTTTTCAGGAACCCTACCTAGCCTAGCCCAACTTTAGGATGTCTACAAGTAGGTGGCGGGTAGTATTACCCGCTTTTCAGGGAAACCGGGTCGGGTATACCCGGACCCGCCAGGCGGGTATTGTATTACCCGCCCCCTAAGGCCGGATCCGGGTAAGGGTCCTGGGCTTATTACCCGACCCGGACCCGACCCGAAATTACCCGACCCGAGGTCGGGTATTGCAAAACCGGGTCGGGTCGGGTAATTACCCGGTTTTGCTCAAGCCTAGTTGCAAGGTGCAAAAAAACGGTGGTCGTTTTAAACGGGCCGTATAATACGATAGTTTTTTTATGGCATTTTTGGAAACAAAAACGCCGTTTTTTTGTTTGAGAAAACTTGTTAAAAAAAACCTTCTTTTTCGACTTGACAAGCACAAGACACTCCCTGAGACCTCTAGCCGTCAAGGCGCCCACAGATTCGCACTACAATGCAATGACCAGAGCTCTAACACCATACGTCTTCCTCTAACTAGCACCTACCCTCCCCCTACTCCTCTTCCCAGTCCTCGGCCTCCTCCTCCCCCTACTCCTCCTCCTACACCTCCACCTACCCTCCTCGTTCTACTTCTACTCCTCCTCCTCCATTTGGCATCCACTTCCTAATCCTCCTCTTCTTCCTCTTCTTCCTCCTCCTCCTCCCCCTCCTCCTCCTCCTCCTCCTCCTCCTCCTCCTCCTCCTCCTCCTCCTCCTCCTCCTCCTCCTCCTCCTCCTCCTCCTCCTCCTCCTCCTCCTCCTCCTCCTCCTCCTCCTCTTCCTCTTCCTCCTCTTTCTCCTCTTCCTCGTCCTCAGCACGCTTCTCCTTGCCCTTTTTTCCCCCGCTGCTCCTCCTAGCTCACTTCCCTGCCCGGTTCTTCAAAGAGCTCTTCTTCTTATGCCCGGCCGAGCATCCAAACGTGCTCCAATCAATGGCGCACGCCACCGCATCCTGCCCTTCCTCCTGCTGCGCGACCTCGGGTTCCAATGGCATGCTGCAGCCTTCCTTCAGCTTTCCTGAAGCAAGGTCAGTGCACAGCTTGGCACGCGCCTCTTGCTGCTGGTCGAATGCTGACCTGGCACGCCTGCTGAAGGCGACCGAGGTCACATCGATCATAGTCTTGGCACTGAGGTTGTTACGGTCGCGCCGCTGAACTCGAGCCATGGCCGACCACCATCGCTCGACCTCTGACGACGTGATCGTCTGTGAGAGAATACTCACAGCCACCTCCTGCAGGTGGCGTACCTCCCCGCCGTAGATCAGCCACCACTCCGCCTCTGTCATTCTGCCGCTCTCCACCAGTGTGGATGCATTCCACCTTGCGTCCTTCCCCCCCAGTTTCCCCGCCCCCTTGTGGAAGGCCGCTAGCTGCGCTTGCAGCAGCGCCCGTCGTCCGGGGTCGTCCTCTCGTGCCTCCAACACGAGGTCAGCCCCTTTGCGGATCTCCGTGTCACCCCAAACATCATCCGAGAACTGGTTTAGGGGGCTCAAAAGCCACCCGAACGCTTGGAGGGGGTTGTGCAACTGCCCATCCCACCTCCTCCAGAAACCATTTTCGCGGAGGGAAGCTTGTATTGCTTCCCAAACGCGACAGTGGCGTTCACAAACGCCTGAAATGCCGGGGACCTGGTGGGAACGGGAAAGAGGATGTTAGCACAGTTCCAGACTTGGAGGCGGAATGCCTAAGACCAGGAGCCCACAAAGCTTGGCGGACATAACTGGGGAAGGGTGGACGGGGAGGGACTCACTGGGAACAACGAAACGCCCAGTCGTTTTCCGCCACCGCCATCGCCCACAGGTATTCCAGTCGCTGCCGCCCTTGCTGGTCCGTCAGCTCGTGAATGTCGAGCTGACCGCCGCGCGGAGCCTGCGTCCCGTCGACGGTCGATGTGGAGCCCGGAATCGAAGCCGAGCAAGAAGAGGAGCGCGCTGCCTCACCCTTGGCGCGCAGATTCTGCGCGAATGCTGAGGTGCAGGCGGCGACGTTCTTCGCTTTTGCAGCAGGGGTGCCGAACATATGCTCCTGAATTTTTGTCGCATTGGCCGTCACTGGCAGGTGGCAGTGAATGCACTCCGTCTTCAAAAGCCGGCCCTAGTCATTATAAAATCGCTTCACGTGCTCCCACATGGGAGAAGGGGTGTGTGGCATGGGGGCTAAGCTACGACGGGCTCGCTTGTCCTGAAATTACGCACTCGTTGCGTGGGCGAATGACCAGGGAAGAAATCCGCTAGCTATTTAGCTTAGATCGATGCGGGAATTCAGACACGAGTACTCACCTCTGCAGATGTGCTCCACGTTTGTAAGTGAGCGACATGTGTGGAGTCGTCAGAGACGTTTGAGAAAGCGGAGGGGAGGGATGCAAATTGGCGGGGGGGTGGAATTTCCGCAATGCGTCGCTGTCGCATGCGTGTCGCACTGTGCGAAATATAACCCTTTTGCCGCGGATCTGTACACCACATCGTTGGCGAAGCGGGAGTATAATTCGCAACGATGTTGCGAACGGGGTTCAATGCGCGGCTCGCCAGTTCGTTTGATACGCGCCTCGGACACATTTCGCGACGACACGATTCCAAGTTCCAACATTTTGCACACAACGAATTCGACTCGGTAAGAAACATGGACCCGATATACTCATCTACATGGTGGTGCAAAAAAAACGATCGAAAAAAACGATCGTATTTTTGCACTAGCACAAAAAAGCACACTATGACCGTTTTTAATCGTATAATACGGCCGAAACCTTCGGGTACCGTACCATATGGTCAAATTTTGAAAAGAACGTCGTTTTTTTTTGCCTTGGTTGGTACTCCTTGGCGTGAGAGTCGAGCTAGGAGAGGGAGAGGAGCGAGAAAAAATCTGCCAAGGGAGGATCGAGCGGGGCGTGAGCCAAAAGCTGTGATAACCATGTTAGAAACCGTAGAGAGAAGGACATTGACTATAGAGGGAGATGGTACAGGGTTATATACCTAGGAGCAAATCCTAGGTCAAGAGGTGCTTGACCAACTCAACCATTATTCGTTGGACCAATGATGGTTGGAAGGGTTGGACCACCAATAATTGAGGAGCCAATAATGTTGGTGGAAGACCAACAAGATTGAACACCTCGGTAGCTTAGTTGCTACAAACGCTCTGGTAGACACGCGGTTAGCGTTCAAACGCAAGCGTTTGAACGCAAACGCCAAACGCACCCAAAAACGCAAACGCACTCTGGGATCTTTTTCGGGCTGCCCCCCCAAAAAAAACACGAGATTGTCGTTGGAGAATAGCCTTAAGGATATGTGATTTACATGACATATGAGGATGCTGGCTTAGATGTTACGCAGGGTTTCTTTTTTATGAGACAAAATGCTTGCTGGTAGAACCCCCATGTTTCCCCCCTCCCCCACAGGAATCTTGAACCCCTACCCGGGTAAAAAATTTACCCCTGCCCAGGCAAGCGTTTGCCTAGCGTTCACATACACACTGCCGAGCGTTTAGCGTTCAAACGCTAGCGTTCAAACGGCAAACGCGTTTGTAGCAACTAAGCTCGGTAGTTGGGGTCAAGGGTTGGTTGAATATCCAACCCCAACATGTATCTACACCCCTAGAAGCCCAGCTTGGTTATAGATACCCAAGTATGAGAAACTATGTAGGATAAAGAGAATGATATATTCTAACACCATGCTGGTTCAATCCGCCCCATACTCCCTCTCGCAACGTGCCATCACGCCGGGTCTCACTGTGGCAGTAGCACCCATCCTCCCATCCCCCACTCCTTAATTGCACCAGGTGAAGCTGCGAGGCGGAGTGCCGGCATGTACTGCATGTGGCGAGCATGGCGTCACCCACTGTGTCATCGCGCACACGCCCAGCCCCTCTCTCTCTCTCTTTCTGCCTTCACTCCATCCCCTGTGCCCGCGCCTGCCCGCTAGGTGAAGCTGCGCAGCCGGGTGCCGTCGTGCGCAGCGTGTGGCGAGCACAGCAGCATGACGCCTGACAGCATCCAGGAGTTTGACTACGAGGCATTCACCGCCTCGCCCTTCCACGACCAGGTACTGCTCATATCCACCATGTTCGTGCACCATGCACAATGCAACATGCACGATGCAACATCCACCATGCACCGTGCACCATGCAACATGCACGATGCAACATGCACCATGCAACATGCACCATGCAACATGCACCATGCAACCTGCACCATGCAGCATGCAACCTTCACCATGCACCATGCACCGTGCACGATGCAACATGCACCATGCACCATGCACCATGCACCATGCAAGATGCACCATGCACCATGCACCATGCTCCATGCACCATGCATCGTGCACCATGCAACATGCAACATGCACCATGCACCATGCACCATGCACAATGTACCATGCAACATGCACCATGCACCATGCAACATGTACCATGCTCCATGCACCATGCACCGTCCACCATGCACCATGCACCCACCATGCACCATGCACCATACAACATGCACCATGCAACATGCACCATGCACCATGCACCATGTGTTAGCTTATACCTTCGTCATTCTATTAGCCTACATCGTTTCATTGTCTTAGGTATTTATCAGCACCTCACTTGGGTGTATACACCCAAGTTGGAGGTTGGGTTCCCAACTTTGTTGGATTCCCAAATTGGATAGGGCTCCCAATTATTGGACCCCCAATAATCCCAACTGAGATTATTGGACCCTTCTCTCTCCTCACCTATGTATACCCCCTCCTTCTCTGATTCAATCACTTCAATTTCTCACATGGTTTCAGAGCTTATGGCTCACGCCTCTCCGTCGTTCGATCCCTAGCCACCTCGCGCCCATCGCGCCCCTCCCCACGCCCTCAAGTGCCCCTCCTCGCGCCTTTACGCTCCACTCCCTGCACCCTTAAGCGCCCCTCTCCGTGCCTTTAAGCGCCCCTCCTCGCGCCCTTAAGCGCCCCTCTCCGCGCCTTTAAGCGCCCCTCCCCGCGCCTTTAAGCGCCCCTCCCCGCGCCTTTAAGCCCCCCTCCCCGCGCCCATAAGCGCCCTCCCCGCGCCCTTATCCGCCCCTTCCCGCGCCCTTAAGCGCCCCTCCTCGCGACCTTAGTCGCTGCGTTTTCGCGCAGCGCACTTGCCGCATTTCGACACAGCGCTCGGCTGCATTTCGACGCGGCACCGGGCCGCATTTCGACGCGGCGCCCGGCTGCATTTCAACGCGGCGCTCGGCTGCATTTCGACGCGGCGCCCGGCCGTATTTCGACGCGGTGCCCGGCCGCATTTCGACGCGGCGCCCAGCCGCATTTCGACGCAGCACCCGGCCGCATTTCGACGCGGCGCCTGGCCGCATTTCGACGCGGCGCCGGCCGCATTTCGACGCGGCGCTCGGCCGCATTTCGATGCGGCGCTTGGCCGCATTTCAACTCGGCTCTCCGCCGCATCTCGATGCGGCCCTCCCGCCACATTTCGACACGCCTTCCACGCCTCACTCCGTCGCCTCCTCCCGCTTTGTGCAGTCACGGCGCCCTCGCCTAACAAGTGGGATTCGGCCGGGCTGACCTCTGTGCCGGCGCGCACCGCACGCAACTGCCCACAGCGACCGATCTTCGCCATCCGCGCCGGTCGTCGCCTTTCGTGTCGGCGCCCGCCGAAGGCTTCGTGTCGGCGCCCGCCCAAGAGCTGCGCTCCGCGCACCCGTCCTCTTTTCCTCCTCCCTCCCCCTCCCCTCTCTTCCCTCCTCCTCAGCAGCAGTCGCCTCCTCCCCCAACCTCCACCACCCACCCTCTCTCCCCTCAGCACCAGCAGCAGCAGCCGCATCAACCGCAGCAGCCACCTCCTACCTCCCCCTCCCACTCACCCTCACCTCTTCAGTTAGCAGCAGCAGCAGTCGCACCATGGCCACAGAACCACTTGTCGTTGACATCTTTACTATCGACGTCCTCGAGCTCATTGACGACGCCATTGGGCAGCCTTTTTGGCAACATGAGCATGCTGGAGGAGAGTGTATTCCGCCAAGTCCTTGTCATAATGGAGCGGCACGGGGCCCATCGATCAGAATCATTGGTGTAGACCAGTGGGGAGGTCTTGGTGTCGAGCCAATGCCCTCTCCTTCATGCGTCGCCTCCTCACCACTGCCAGGCGCCTTGCTGATTGCTGCTCTCCTCTTCCCGACTCCCTCATCGTCTGTCGCCTCCTCGACGGCCTCATGCCAATGTACGACTCCCGTTGAGTCGCATTCAATGAAGTCCACGCCAACTTTCCACCAGACTCTACCACGGCAGCTGCCTTGATTCTGAAGATTGAAGCCGAGCTCCTCCATCAATCTCCCTCGACGGCTCATGCCGCCAAGGCAAAAGGCGGACGTGATGCTGGCCGCGGCGGCAGTTCGGCGGGACGCTCGGGCGTTGGCCGAGGTGGGGGCACAGTGGAGGATGCGGGGGCAGCAGTGCATCAAGAAGCACCGGCGGCTTCTCCCCCTGTCAGTATCTCAATTTAACAGTTTAACAAGGGTAAGCGATGCCTCCAAACCAAGGCGCAAAAAAGCGGCGTTTTTTTCAAGATTTTGTCGTTTTAAACGACATCGTAAGATTCCGTCGTTTAAAACGATAAAAAGCGGTCAATGTGCCCTTTTTTGTTATGGTGCAAAAAAGCGATCGTTTTATACGATCGCTTTTTTTGTACCCAACAATTGAAAACGTATATCGCGTATGTTGGTTTGGCTGACTCGATTTTGGTGTCGCTCCAAAGTCAGATTCGACCTGACACAACTTTCCAACGAAACGCGACTCGGCGCCAATGTCGATCCGCGAATTGGATCCAATTCGCGAAGCCGGTGCGAACTGTACCCCACTGTCGCTAATGGCCTGGTGTACAGTTTCGCGCCTGAAAATGAGTTCGCGATGTACGCGACACATCGCGAACCTGACGTGTCGCAAATTTCCCAATCCCCCCAGAGGTGTGCACCCTTTCAAACGACTTCATCAAACGGCCTTCACGATTATTGTCGAGTTGAGCACATACAAATGTGGAGCACGACAGAACAGGTGAGTGCATCTCAAATTCCAGAGACTAAGAATCTTAGCTAGCTCAGTCAGTGGTAGCAGCACCGCCCAAGACCACATTTCCGCCATGCCGCGGACTCCTTCTCGCTTGTGGGAACACGTCACCCGCACGTTTGATGACGACGGTAAACTCGTTAGGGTCCAGTGTAATCACTGCACCCAAACCATGACGTCAAGCGCCACACGAATTCAGGAGCACCTTTTCGGTACCCCGGCCACGAAGTCAAAGAATATCGCCATGTGCACCTCCGAGCTCGCGCGGACGCTGCGCGAGAAGGGAAACACCGCCGGATCTTCGCGTAGCTCGGCCTCCACGTCGACGAGCGAGGCGACGACGTCCAAGGCACAAGTCCAGCTCGATATCCGTGCGATGTCGGATCAGGCTGGCAAGGAGCGTCTTGACCACTTGTGGGCCGTCGCGGTGGCCGAGAATGACTGGGCCTTCCGGTGTTCCCAGTGAGTAGTCCTCTCTCTATCGCCATTGATGCTCCCGCAACATTTCTTTCGCACCCGTTCCTCGCGTGGCACGCACAGCACTCCCCTCGCTCTAAGTCCCCGCCTTTTTCCACCCTCCAGGTCCAAAGCGACGCAGGCGTTCGTGAACGCGCAGTGGCGTACGGGAAGCCGTACAAGCTACCCTCGGCATACAAGGTGTCGGGGCCCCTGCTCCAGAAGTTGAAGGCCGACACCTTCGAGTTGGTGTCGCCCCTCAAGGAGACTTGGAAGTCCGTCGGCTGCACCTTATCAGTCGACGGCTGGTCTTGCTTGAAGAGTCGCGCCATCGTATGCGTCATTGCGCAAAACGAGAGCGGCCCGGTGCTCGTCG